GAGAGAGAGAGAGGATCATTTGAGAACTCATAGTTTCCCGAGAATCAAACAAGAGTCGTTAGATCAAAATAATAGAAGGTCAAGATGATTTGTGGCATATTTGTAAATAATTGGAAAAAAATATGACGGGGGTATGCCAATAAAAGTTAATCAGGGGACAATTTTGGAATAAAATAATTGATAATTATTTACCCAAATTAAATCCCTCATTCATTCTCTCTATCTGTCAAACGCATGATCTGCCCTCCTCCTCCCCATGAACTTCTTTTCTCCCTCTCATTCACTTTTTCTAACGTAACCTAAATTCCGTCATTGCTGATCGATGTTGTTGCTGCGATGGTCCTGATCATCGTGTTTTTCACATTGACGACAACTATTGGTGGCGAAGGTGATGATGCTACAACACAAGCGGTATATTTCGTTTGTTTTGAACTGGTTCGTCATCATTCTCTCCTCTCCGGCCGATTTTGTATCCACTGCCTCCGCGCCTTCACTATTTCATCTAGATCTGGAATTATAGATAAGTTTAACATTTTTTTATCTCCTTTTATTTCGATTTTGTGAATATTATGTTCAGTAATCAATATTACGATCTGCTCTAGTTATAAGGCCTTAGTTTTTGAAATTGGAGATATGTTCAACGTGATTTACTTTTCGCATGTGGCTCTGTGAGGTTAATTTTGATTATTAATAATTCTTCTTTGTATATTTTAAAATGATATAACTAAAGGTGGAAAAATGTATATGGATTCGTATCTTGAAATGTAAGGAAGTAATTTAATAGGTTTATCAGGTGACTGATGTAAACATAATTTAATGAGATTTATTCTTAAAAAAGTGTATGCTTAATAAGCCTACTCAATAAAGTTTCATTTTAACTTGGTTTACTAATATTATTAACATATTTATTTATTCATCTTATTTGTAATTCATATGTATAGATGTTTGTTGTTGTGGTACAACAAGTTTACACACCGAAGCATGAGGCAAGGTTGAATGGTGGATTTTATGTCAACTTTGAAGCAAATTGTTGTTCATTATTATTTTTATTTGTGGGGGTATGTTTTGTAGCATTTTTTTTATTCTATGAGATATTGTGAAGAACTTAAATTTGTTAAAGTACTAACTCTTTTTAAATTGAATCTGAATAACTCGAAATAACTAGTGTTTTTATCTGATGTGTTTTCAAGGGCAATGTCGGAAGATTCACATGGAATGAGTGTATTGCAACAAACTGGATACATTGCAAATCATGAACCTAAAAACTGGATACACCAAATCAGGCCTGTAAAGTAAGCTTTTCCCTAGTTTCAATATAAATTCACAAAATTACCTAGTTTTAATCATGTGATTCACATATAAATCACATGTAAATCACATATGAATTACATGTAAATCACATATGAATTACATGTGATTCACATGTAAATCACATATAATTCACATGTAAATCACATATAATTCACATATGAATTATAAGTAAATCACATATGAATTACATGTGATTTACATGTAAATCACATGTAAATCACATATAAATTACATGTGATTCATATGTAATTCACATATGAATTACATGTGATTCACATGTAATTCACATATGAGTTACATGTGATTCACATGTAATTCACATATGAATTACATGAGATTCACATGTAATTCACATATACATCATATGTAATTCATACGTGAATCGTCTGTGATTCATATGTTAATCACATATGTATTTTGTGAGTGTTTTTGCATCAATCAAATTTTTTTTTTTAATTTTCTTGTAGATTTGGAAGAAATTGTAGTGAATATTTAAGAGGTGAAGATGATAAATTGAAGAAAATTATGGAAATATTGACACGAAGACATAAAAACGCTTTGAAATTTTGTACATTTTTTTGTTTTTAATATTTTTTTTTTGTATCGAATAAAATACTTATTATATTGTGTTTATAGATTGGTAAATAAAATAAGTTTTTTTTATGATCTACGTCCGAATATTATAGTATAAAATATATGAATATATGCATTTGAAAAAATATGCATATATGCACCTAAATTTTTTTTTTTAAGTGTAGTTTTTTTTTTTTTTTGAAAAAAAATGTAACTTTTTTTTACAAACTTGCAGTTTTTTATTAAAAAATGCAGTTTTTTTTGAAAAAAATGTAACTTTTTTAAAAAAACTTGCAGTTTTTTATTAAAAAATGCATTTTTTTAAATTGCAGTTTTTTTTGAAAAAATGCAGTTCACTTTAAAAAAATTGTAGTTTTAAAAAAAATATATTTTTTTCAATTTTTTTTTTTCAAAAATACATGTTTTCTATAAAAAAAAAATTAAAAAATCTGCATTTAAAAAAACGAAAAATACTAGTTTTAAAAAAAAATCTGAAAATTTAATTTATGATGTAAATTTTTAGACATTTATATTAATATATTAAATAACACAAAAAAAAATTAAACATTAAATGAGATTGGTAAGATGACGATCATGTCCTTAACGAATTACTTTTGATCCAACGCTTCACTTTTAGTTGTCGGGTTCTCGGGAAACTTTGAGTTCTCAACCGATCTTAACCCTATATATATATATATATATATATATATATATATATATATATATATATATATATATATATATATATATATATAGGAGTATGATCAAATGAGAACACCAAAAAGGTTGAGAACGCGAGAACAAAATATATTTATTTGTGATTCAATGTATTCATTTGTGGAGAAACGATAAATTTTTACGCCTTTAATTTCAATTGAAGAGAAAAATCATATTCATGTTGATTGTGCGTAAAAATTTATCGTTTCTCCACAAATGAATACATACAATCACAAATGAATATACCTGTTCTCGCGTTCTCAACCTTTTAGGTGTTATCATTTGATCATTTCCCTATATATATATATATATATATATATATATATATATATATATATATATATATATATATATATATATATATATATATATATATATATATATATTCACGTAAAGGCTTTATGCCTCTTCATGGGGAAATTGTCTTTGTAACAAAACCAAAGAAGAAAGTCATAAAGTCGCATAGATGATAATCAGATTGGATGTAAGGAAGGTAGAATTAATAGATAGAGCCTACTTTAACTAGTTTTTATCAAGGAAAAAAACCTTTATTAGTCTAATAATCATTTTATATTATAGGAATACTTAAATGAAAAAAAATGAAAAGTCCTTAGATACGTTTTGTTGGTTCTTGAACAAAGACAAATACTTCAGTCAAATTTGATGGTTAATTACTTGATTAAGTAATTAATTAACACTTCCAAGTGTAGTATTTTTCGCTTATTACGATAGTCCAATTTGAGACAAAGTCAACTTTACATGTATTGATCAACAAAGGAGATATAAGACTTCAAAGATTTTAAATCGTTTAATCTAAAAATAAATTGATATGTTTAACATATATTTTTTTTACAAGCTTCTATTTCTAAACTATTTGAATGAGTAATATAAATGATTTTAATGCTCTCTAAGATAAATCATATGTCTCTTTTACAAGCTTCTATCTCTAAACAATTTAAATAAGTTATATGAATGATTTTTATGCTATCTAACGTAAACCATATATTCTAAATCTTATTATATATAATGTAGACCGGGCTATTTTTACCATAGTCCAATTTGAGACAAAGCCAACTTTACTTGCATTGAACAAAGAAGATATAAGGCTTCAATGATTTTTAATCATTCAATCTAAAAATAAATTAAATTGTTTAAATTAGAGTAAATTACACGAATGGTCTCTATGGTTTAAGGTAATTTGCACATTTGGTCCCTAACTTATTTTTTTTAACTCGGAAGGTCCCTACTGTTTGTTTTTGTTACGTACTTGGTCCCTGTCTTACCTAAAAAGACTATTTTTTCCTTGCTTTATTTATTTATTTAAATAAACACACCTCCAACTCCACCCTTTTCATCTTATCTTACCTACCTCATCATTTCCCCCTACTTAAATAATAGTATTTTTAGGTAAAACCGTGTAATAAAAACAAATAGTAGGGACCAAGTAAGTAACAAAAACAAATAGTAGGGACCTTCCAAGTTAAAAAAATAAGTTAGAGACCAAACGTGCAAATTACCCCAAAGCATAGGGATCATTCATGTAATTTACTCTTTAAATTATATTCTCCTACGCACTTCTATCTCTAAACGATTTAAGTGAGTAATATGAATGATGTTAATGCTATCTAAGATAAATAATATGAATGATGTTAATGCTATCTAAAAAAATTTGAATCTGGTACGCTTTTTTGTTTTTCCCTAAATTTGTTATCTACTTGAATCTGACTTTAAAATATTTGATCTGATGTGTCTAACTTGATACTCATGTTCTTGAATTTGATGAAACAAGCTTGAATTTGAATGTTTTTTAAAGTTGTATTTGGCTAGAACAACTAAAAAGGTTTTGTTGACACCTTTAATGGAAACTATTTATGCTTTAAACAGTCATGTTTTTGTTTTAGCTTAAACTATTTATTTTTATGTTTAAAATATGATAATGTCTCATATTCCAAAAGTTACGTTTGTGATGTGATCATCAAAATTTATATGTATATGTTTTGCGTTGATTCGTGAAAAGTTCTTGAAAATTTGAAATTATTAAAGTTGTTCGATGATTTGTCACAATAAAATAGGTAAATTTTCATCTATAAATGTGTTTTCTTTTTGTATATATTTTTTTTATTAAACTTTGAATGATGTATGAATAAATATTTTTTTTTTTGTGTTAAAAGTGAATGATGAATGTTTTCTAATAACTTTTTGTGAATGTATTTTTTTGTGTATTGGATAAATATTGTTATGGCCTTGAATGACTCATAATTTTTAAATTCCCTTATGCTACATATAAGAAAAACACCATGAATCGACTCTAGTGAACAATAACATAACCAAAAAACCTAAAATTTAAGCCAATAACAAACTTAATAGTACAAAAACACAAAACTCAACCACTCCATTTTTCAATTTTCTCCCACTTCATACTCCATAACTTGTTCCACTTTTGAGAGTCTCATCAACCCTCTCAATGCACTATATATCTCTTCTCTCTTCAAATGCCTCTCATCAAAAGCATAAAACTCAACAACTCCATCATCAACCTCAATCAAACTACACCCCGGCAACTTTTTAACCCCAGTGTTTCTCATTGCAACTTTTGACTTAGCCAAATCATCCCATCTTTTAACATCTCCATATATATTCGATAACATCACATAATTAGACGGGTTATCTGGTTCAATCTCAATAAGCCTTTCAAGACACAACTCGGCTACATCAATTTTTTTATAAATTCTAGACGCGCTTAATAAGTTAGTCCAAATCACATTATCTGGTTTCAATGGCATTTTTGTAATAAACTCCATTGCTTCGTCAATTAAACCAGCTCGAGCTAGTAAATCAACCATACAACCATAATGTTCCATTTGTGGGACAATTAAGTAGTCATTTATCATGGAGTTAAAGTGATTAAATCCATCTTTAACTAATCCCATATGAGAACAAGCACATATGACACCTATGAATGTTATTCCATCTGGTTTTTGTTTGGAGATTTTCATTTCATGGAAAATTTTCAAGGCTATTGATCCATGGCCATGCATGGCTAATGCATTTATAACACTATTCCATGAAATCACATCTTTCTTACTCATTGATCTAAACACATCAATCGCATTTGTTATCACACCACATTTTGCATACATGTCAATCAAACTATTTGCAATGTAAGTGTTATCTTTATACCCGTTGTTTTGTGCATAAACATGTACCCATTTTCCCAATTCAAGAGCTCCTAGCTTTGAGCAAGCAGATAGAACAATTGCTAGTGTTGCATCATTAGGTTGAACATTGGATTCATTTAACATTGTTTTGAAGGTGTCAAGAACTTCCATGAACTGACTATTGTGAGCGTATCCACCAATTAATGCATTCCAGGAAAAGAAATTTCTCTCAGGCATTTCATCGAACAGGTTCTTGCATCCCTTCATATCTCCATTATTTGCATACCCATTTAGTAAAGTATTCCATGACATTAGATCTCGATTTGGAATGACATCGAATAGTTCCCTGGCTGCGTTCATATTACAAGATACTATATAACCAGAAACCATGGTGTTCCACATTACAATATCGCGTTCAGGCGCCAGATTGAACAGTTGTCTTGCAGAATTGATATCCCCAGATGAAATATACCCTCGAATCATTGATGTCCATGTGACTACATTTCTTAAACTAATCTCGTTAAAAACCTTATAAGCGGAAGAAATTATGCCCCCACTACAATACATATCAATCAAAGTTGTCCCGACAAATGGATTCGACTTAAAACCAACCTTCACCACAAAGCAATGCAATCTTTCTCCATCTTTCAAAGCCGATAGCTTTGCGCAAGATTTCAGGACAATTGGGATCGTAAAGTAATTAGGCTTCACATTTATGTTTATCATGCGCCGAAACAAAATCAGTACATCCAGGTACATCTCGTTTCCGATGTACCCTTTGAACATGGCATTCCATGGCGCAGTATTTGGGTCAGAAATTTGGTCGAACACCCGGCGTGCATGAGCAATGTTTTTTATCTCAGCGCACGCAGACACGAGGCTTGGAGTGATATGCCGATTGTGCTCAAACCCATGGGTGGTTACCAGAGCTTGAGCTTGATGGATATGGTTTGTGGTATTACATGACTTTAAAATTGAGATGAATTTTTCTTCAAGGATGCGCTTTTGGGTGAAATTTTGAACAATTTTCGCAATTTTGGAAGAAACCGAGATATTGCAAATGAAGATTAATGGGTTTGTATTTGCACAATTTGCAATGGGCGAAACAACGCGATACCGAGGTTAATAACAAATGATTCTTCTCCTCTGCAACTGTTGTGACGTTAGTACTCGTCTCAGAGCAATTATTGGGGAATTGCGTGCTTTATTACACGAATCGACTATAGTTTAGATAATTTGAGTGTTTTATCTTTTTAACTTATTTTTTAATATGGAAGGTCTTTATTGTTTGTTTTTGTTATATGTTTGGTCCTTGTCTTACCTAAAAAGACTATTTTGCCCTTGATTTTTTATTTTATTTAAATAAACACATCCCCAACCTCACCCACTCACTTTACTTTACATACTTCACAATTTTTTCCTATTTAAATAATAGTCTTTTCAGGTAAGACAGGACCAAACGCATGACAAAAACTAACAGTAGGGACCAAACGCGTAAAAAAAAACAAGAGTAAATTACACGATGGTCCATATAGTTAAGGGTAATTTGCATGTTTAGTCCCTAACTTATTTTGTTAACTCGAAAGGTCATTATTATTTGTTTTTGTTACACAATTGGTCCATGTCTTAACTAAAAAGACTATTTTGCCATTGGTTTTTTAATTTATTTAAATAAACACACCCCCAACCTCACCCCTCACCTTACATTACCTATCCCATCATTTTTCCATATTTAAATAATAGTATTTTTAGGTAAGACAGGAACCAAACGCGTAACAAAAACAAACAGAATGGACCAAGCGCGTAACAAAAACAAATAGTAGGGACCTTCCGAGTTAAAAAAATTAAGTTAGGGACCAAGCGCGTAAATAACCCCAAACCATAGGGACCATTCGTGTAATTTACTCCAAAAACAAATAGTATGGACCTCCCAAGTTAAAAAAAATAATTTGGGGACCAAGCGTGCAAATTACCCCAAACCATTGGGATCATTCATGTAATTTACTCGACTTGTTTTTTTTAGTAAGTTACAGTTGTGGTACCTGTGGCATATAACTATCTATAAGTTTGGTCTTATTTTTGAAAATGTGAGCACTACCACTGATCTTCATGGTTGTCAAATGTATCAGTTTTGCTCTGTTTCTCGGTTATTGTCTAACCAATTTCGTTAAGTATAGGTAAAATGACAAAATTGCCCCACTTTTTCTATCCCTTTCTTAGTTTTGTCATTTTCTAAACTTCATTGGCGATTTTTGTAATTTAGTTTAAAATAAGAAAAACAAAACCCTAAATTGAATAACCCCCATCTTCTCCATCCCTATCGTGTTTTCTCCCTCCTCTGCTCCATCTTCGAAGACCCTTTCCACCACCATCGTCCATCCTCATTCTACCTCTGGTTTCTCTCCCTTGTAACTATGTCAACCCTCTCTGTGTTTCTCTTTCTCTCGTTAAAATTATGGGTACCCTCTTGCTGTCGGCAACTCTTGTTGGGTTTTAGTATACTACAACATCCTATGGTGCACATACAACCCTAAATACCTTGGATCTATGTTTTCACTAATTATACATGCAAATGGTTTCCAAGGCATTAAACATATAACTAGCATGCAATTGACATGAACAATATAAGATGCTAGTTAGGATAACATACCTTTTGATGTAGCTTGAATCCTTGTTGTATTTGGTGTTGCTAGAAAGACTTTGGCCTTTAAGAACTTAGTGCCCCAAGTGTTGCACCTCAAATGAAATCACAACTCACCTAGGACAAAGGTGGCTCTTGAGAGAGAATCTTCATACACCAAAACACCACCATATTTCTCTAAGAAAAGAAGTGGTCATTTTTGGCTATGGAGTAACCTATTTATATGTAGGATAATCAAGGTCATGGGTATAACCCAAATCCATACCCATGGGTTTTATGATCCATGGTTCATATGACCCAACTATTTATGTATCCATACATAAACTTGGTCCAACATGGATTATAAGCCCAACACATATAAATATAGCTAATTATCATAATTAGTCCCCATAGATTTAATTAGTCTCTTTTGATCACTAAATTAATTCCAAATTAATTCTTGATCAATACTAATTAAAACATATGATTTCATATTAATATATTATAACTTATAATATATTAATTGATGTGTGTGAAACGAACTAGTTTTAATCCTACTAACTTAGACATAAAATAAACACGCGAAAGGCAGTGTGCCTATCGATTAGTAATATAGTTCAAGCAAGTAGGGTATCGAACACAGGGAACGGTAAACAATTAAAATAAATGCTAATATTATCTAAATAAAACAAGTAATAGAAAGGGGGTTTCTCTAGTTTTGCAAGACTAGAAACTTACCAACTAATACTTAGACTACTTAACTAAAAACTAGATAAGCAAAGATTCAACTAAATTCAATAACGAAGGGAACTTCTGTTTAGTTCAACTTAATTGATCCTATGGTTGATATTATGGTAATAGTGCAATGGATTAATTCTTCTATTGGCTACCGATTCAAGTGATTAGATTCATGTTCGCCGCACTAATCCTTAGAGAACAAACTAACTTAAACAGTGGCTAGTTGTCTAATTTAATTCAATTCACTAGGTTATTTATTCGGGTTAATTTAGACTTGTAATGGTTAACTAATTTGGTCCTTTAGTTAACCTTTTGTTGATGGTCATCACACAAGCTCACACATGAATTTAACTATTTTTCTTATTAAATCTAGTTTCACATTCGCTAATCCTAGTCATATAATAAAGTGTTCATATAAATCATATGAGGTAAACAATTAAGAGATGTTCATGCAGCTTAATTATCTTCCTATTAACAGAAAAATAGTTATCATTCACACATAAGGTTCTTTAACAAGATAAAATCAACAAAATCACCAATATTAAATCAATCCTACCATAAAATCAAACCATAATCACAAAATCATCTATCCTAAATATAAGTTATGAGTTTTTAGCTCATATCTACAGCAAATAACAAACTAAAAACATAATCTAATGATTGAAACATGGTTTATGCAAAAGATTAAGATAAAAGTAGTGTGCTATTGCCTTTGATCTTCCTCCAAATTGATATCTAAGTTGAAATCTCGAAAACCACAACTTGTAAGAACCTTTCTGGCCTCCAAAAATCGTCCTAAACTTCCCCCATTCGTTAGAGTTCGAATGAGAAGCGTTTCTATATATATATTTATGAAAACAGGGGCTACTCGGCGAGTCCATCACTTAAAATCCCGTGTACGGCAAGGCAAAGTCAAGAATCGTGAAACTTCTGACCAACTCGTCGAGTTGATGGACTACTCGTCGAGTCCATTTGGAATCAACATTTTCTCAAAACACGAAAGTCGTCCGAAATTGTGTCTATTTTTCAGAACATTTTGAATCTCGTCAATCAGAGTTACGGTTCATGAGATATGGCCAAAACACTGACGAGGGGTCAAGCTGTCCAACAACATCCTTCTTTCTTCAAAATCCAAGATCCAAGCTTCCAATCGCTAGTTCCGCTTCCTTTTCCATCCGAGAATGTCATTGTTGCTGAAAAATGAAATTATAAACTAATTAAGCACCTTTTGTTCATTAACTGAGACAAAAACAACATAAAGTATTAAGATAATGCATGAATTTTATAACTAAATATGCCCATGTCAAAATACCCCATACTTGACTTTTGCTTGCCCCCAAGCAAAACTGAATTTTAGTACACTAATATTACATAAGACAATCCCAATCGAACCCAGCCATTATGCCAAGACCGCAACGCATGCATTTGTGTATAAAGTTTTTCCTAAGGAACCCCCCATGCTCTAAATACTCACAATCCTCATAAACATTCGCCCACTTTTTCCGAACAATGCTCATTTTATGCATCCCTCCGAATCCATCCACAGAAAACCTCCTAACCTCAAGGTATTTTTGGTTGAGCAACCCAAGCATACATAATCTAGAAAATTACAATTTATGATACCAATATGGAGCTCTTTTGGAATTCTTCACTTCTTTGACATTTGATCTTTAATTTTCGGGTATCTTCAACTTTTGAATTTCTTCAGAATTTTCGATCTTTGAACTTCATACTTGAACTTTGATGCTCCAAAAATTCTTCAAACTTTTTCTTGTAATTCTCTCCTTTTTTTTTTAACATGTAACTAACTTTTTCCACTCAAAATCCTACATGCTTAAGCAGGGGCGCTCAACTTCAACCTTTATTGGTTAACGATAATAATTTTCCTGGATACATTTCTAGTACACGATGCTAAACATATTGCATCCTTCTAACTAAGCGAGGTCGTGTTTTTGTCCCATGATTTCACTAGAATAAGGAAGCCACAAATGCATTGTAACGTGTATAGGCTCAACTAAACATTTGGGTCTTCATGCAATCATCAAACTTAACACTAGCATAGAATCCTAATTGCTTTACCAAAATTTTCTAAATTAGCCCTAGCAATTTTAATGCAAAATTTACAAAATTTATCATAAATTAACTAAAATTTTAACTAATATAATCAACCCCTACCCCACACTTAATTTATGCAATGTCCCCATTGCATATTATGCATGATAAAGAACAAAAAATAAAGAGGGAATTGGAACAAACTCCCCTAGGATAGTAGTTGCGAGGTTGAACTTCTTCATTTAAAGCTCCATCTTCAGCTGACTTTAGACATAGGAACAACCCATCCATGCATTGGGTGTCATTCGTCTTGTGTGGTTGACAACTCCAAAATATCGAGGAAAAAGCTTCTTAGAAATGCTCGGAAATGATTTAGTTAAAAGAAGTTTAAAAGAAAAACCCCCTTATTAAATGTGAGGTCGTGTTTTTGTCAACTAGTTTTTACCAATTATTTTAAACCCACTTATTAATAGTTTTTGTGTGTTTATTTTATAATAAATGACTAGTAAAACAAACTAGTTTGTATCTGAAAATAAAAATTCCTATATTATCCCTAAATACTAGATGTTTAAAAGAAAAAGGAAAGCAAACTCTAATGACGAGTTGCCTCCCGCAAGCGCTTCTTTTTGTGCGAGTCTTTAGCTGGACTCCCAACTTAATAAACTTTTAATAAATTCGATGCCCATCCTTCCATTGCATTAAATATTTTCTTTGGACCAATTTGTAAAATTCAACTCTTTGCTTCAAAAATTGGCCAAACAAGCTTGAATTCATAAAACCCAAGAATATTGACAAGGGTTGGAACCGGTTGGATACTAATCATATATGGATCTTGATTTAGAACTTTCTCCAAAGTTGGAATCGTCACCCCATGCTTCAAAACACAAACCGGAAGAGCAGGGGACCAAGTTGTGGTAATGGTCAAACCACGAGTTGGTTCCTGCAATTCAGGTTGTTTTTGTTCTTCATCTGACCCTTCTGCCAGCAACCCTTCCAGCTCCTCCAAATCTCTTTCTGGATTAAATTCTTCATCTTGTAGCTTTAGCTCTCGTGACTCAAATTGTTCTTGATCGTTAGACAAGATGTTATCTAACCATCTATCAAATTTTTTCAAATCTTCATCCGATCCACACTCCTCATCTCCTTGCTCAATTTCCTGTACTACTTCCTCAAGAAAAGCATCAAAAACATCGAGATTTGGAAAATACATAATAAATAAAAATAAAAATAAAAATTAAACTAAATAAAAAAAATTAATCAACAAATAAAAAAATAATAACAATTAGCAAATAAAATTAACTATTTATAACCATTCCCCGGCAACGGCGCCAAAAACTTGATGTGTGTGAAACGAACTAGTTTTAATCCTACTAACTTAGACACAAAATAAACACACGAAAGGCAGTGTACCTATCGATTAGTAATATAGTTCAAGCAAGTAGGGTATCGAACACAGGGAATGGTAAACAATTAAAATAAATGTTAATATTATCTAAATAAAACAAGTAATAAAAAGGGGGTTTCTCTAGTTTTGCAAGACTAGAAACTTACCAACTAATACTTAGACTACTTAACTAAAAACTAGATAAGCAAAGATTCAACTAAATTCAATAACGAATGGAACTTCTGTTTAGTTTAACCCAATTGATCCTATAGTTGATATTATGGTAATAGTGCAATGGATTAATTCTTCTATTAGCTACCGATTCAAGTGATTAGATTCACGTTCGCCGCACTAATCCTTAGAGAACAAACTAACTCAAACAATGGTCAGTTGTCTAATTTAATTCAATTCACTAGGTTATTTATTCGGGTTAATTTAGACTTGTAATGGTTAACTAATTTGGTCCTTTAGTTAACCTCTTGTTGATAGTTATCACACAAGCTCACACATGAATTTAACTATTTTTCTTATTAAATCTAGTTTCACATTCGCTAATCCTAGTCATATAATAAAGTGTT